ATTGTTCCATGATATTGGAATTGTAAAGTATAAAATCATAATGATGTAAAATGCTTCTGCTAACTCTAATTGTAAATGCATAATCAATAATAACAAATATGAATTTTACCTATATATGACATTTTTGTTATTAGAATAACACTAATACACAAGATATTATAGTACAAATACAATAATTGATGATATACCTTTTTTTTCTTTGGCTTTTGCTGTTGTATTGGCTGATTCATCCATAAGCTTCAATGATTTTCTTCTTTCAATTAGTCGTTCGGCTATTGAAGTTTTTTCATGAGTTTTATCCATATACAACCTTCTTGCTGTTTATTGTCATTTTCATAATCAAATTAGGAAATAATAATTGATTTATCATATCCAAATATCTAGAGTAACATTTAAAATTATTCTACTAGAATAAGATTAATAGAACATAGAAAAACATTAATAGAATATAGAATATTTTATTTGTAATACATAGAATAACATAAACAAATGAGATAAATATATTATATTTGAAAACATTGAATACACAATATATCATTTATTCTTTTATATCTTATTATAATACATAGAATAGTTTATTAAAGTATATAGAATAACAGAAACAAATTAGATTAACAATTAAAAATATTCTATTAGAATAAAATTAATAGAATATAGAAAAACAATAATAGAATATAGAATATTTTATTATAATACATAGAATAACAGAAATAAATGAGGTAAATATTTTTATTAGAATAGAATAATTGATGATATACCTTTTTTTGTTTTTCTTTTGATGTTGTAGTTGTTAATTGATTGATCGACTTCGATTATTTTCTTTTTTGAACCAACTATTTGCCTGTTGAAGTTTCAACTTCACTATTTCTACCCAGTGTCATCATTTTTATTTTTGATTTTGTCATTCTTGTTATAATATTATCTGCATGAAAATAATTAATGTTAAATACAATTTAAATGTAATCTGTAATAGAAAAACACTTACATTTATTTCAAAATTATATTCTAACTCATCATAACACATACACACAAAGAAAACAACATATAAAGATACACATAATAAATTTAAAGCAAATTGACCAATATGCCCCTGCACTGTTTCTTTATGAGATTAAAATTACTCGAATTTTCTATAAACACAGTTACATACATACACATTAAAAACAGAAGCAAATTGATGAATATGTCCCTGTACATAGTATTTTTTCCATCCACTTACCCTAGTGATGCTTGACTTAACCATGCATAAAGTTTATATAATGATTAAAGTTTTGTGTAAAAGAACAGTTAGAAGTTGAATCACATAGTAAGATGTCAAAAGTGGAATGATAACTCTCTATTTTTTTTTTCAGAAAATGCAGAAAACACATATAATAACTTGATTGTTAATTACACAATTTTGTTTTTGTTTATGTGATGAGTTCTATACTAATTCAGATCAAGTTCTGAATTATTAGAGGACATAATATGCAATTGTTTAATGGAAAAACTTTATTATTCTTATTCAGACCAAGACCATCAGGACCAATACCATGAGAATGTTTCTTTTCATATATGCCTTGAAAGCACTTGTGTATATTTCCTTTTTCACATACACACAAAATCTCAAAAGTATTAAATAAATGTGTTTGGTTCGAATCAAAACCGAATGCCCCTGCAAATAGATGAAAGGCTAAAGCTTTATTTATCATTAATCCAAAGAATCCCACATAAGAATGTATTAAATGTAATATAAGTAGGGGCATATTTTTGTTATAAATACATACTCAAACAACACAAAAACGCTCATATTCACTAAGAAACAAGAGCCCGATGCCCTAATTATTAGTATGTAGATATGGAGACTGGAGGAACAATAGAAGGTCAATTCTCAAAGATATATCGTCGTTTTCAAACGAACTCAAGGATATAAATGATAATTAACAGAACTAAAATACCTGGAATTTCTTGAGAAGTTTTTGGTAATAATGGCATTTAGGTGATCTGATGGTGTAGATTCTGAAGCACGTGTTGATGTAGCCATTTTCGTTGATAAGAAATACTCGATAAGAATGAAATTAGGTAAGTTTAGGGTTTTATCGATGTTATCAAGTGAAAATCGGATTCACAACATCGAAAATTGAAATTGATACAGGGAAAAATCGAAGATGACGAGTTCAAGAGCACAAGAAGTTAGGGTTTTGATGGAGTGTTTAAAACCGAAAATGATAAGAAGTTTTGGAAGACGGTTTTGAGAACACAGATGAAGAAATTGAGTTTTTTTATTTTAATGTTCTTCCATCGTGCATAAGTATAAAATCTCAAAGTTATCACGTTTGTCCCTTTTTCGTCCCTAGAAAATAACGTCCTAGTATTTTTAGTCCCTTTTAATTTAAAAACTTACAGTTTGGTTCAAATATTATTTTAATTGTAAAATAAAATTACTTAATTACAAATATTCTAAAACAAATATTTTCATTTATTCTAAAATTTTACTTCTACTAATAGAGACAATGTATTTTTTTCTAAAGTATACTAAAATTTTATTATCGTAATTTTTTATTATTGTAACATGATACTAAATCTAATTTCATTTATTCTTTTTATTAAAATATTGTAAAACAAAATTACATATTATATTAAAACGTTTTATTATTAAGTATTTTAATGAAACCAGAATAATCAGAATAATTCACATAAAACAAATTAGAATAAGCTTAATACAATATTAACAATATGTGTTTTAATCATTTATCATTTTACCAAACAATTTTTTAATCAAATAAATAGGCATCATCAAACAAAAAGTTTAAACGCAATATATCATTTACTATTAAGCAGTAAATATTTTATTAAGATACCAACTAACTGGTTTAAGCATATCATTTACCAAAATATCAATGGTTTAAGTATATCTTTAAACATAAGCATTTAAAAAAAATCAAAATAGAAAATAAAATGTCTGTATGTAATAAGCCAATATAAAAATTTTTCAAACTTTCTTCATTTCCAAATTGTCTCTTGCTTCACTGCCTTCTTTCACCAACATGCACCTAGTTTTCTTATCAAGTTTTGAAAATTCCAATGCTTCTGTAACATTCAATTTTCTCTGCTTGTTGATTTGATGGTTTGCTAGCTTAGAAACATAAAATGTACGCAACTTTGCAATCTTTTTAGATGTCCTAACACTTTCTTCTCCCAGTTCCACATCCCATTTTTCTTCTTTCTCACCCATGTATTTTTCCATATGCCTCATCAAAAATATACCATCATCATTTGTCTTAGTTTTTGTTTGCCATGCCATTTTCATTTTCTTTGGCTTCATAGATTTAAACAAATTTAAAAATTAAGTACCATAATTTGAGTGTTGAAGAAGACACGTGGTGGTGATTTTTTGTTTCTCAGGTTTTCTTCTTCAAAATTAAGAACAACAGCCCAACAATCAATAACGAAAGGATGTATCTTATGATTTGGACGCATACCCTCAAAATGCACCCTATCCATTATGTCTCCAGACTCAGTTTCAAACAGCATTTCCCTTCAAACAAAAATATTGAATTGTAGTTAAAATATTCCAATAGAAATATTACACAATTATGAATTTACTTACATTGGATCTTTGTCTGCAATGCATCTAAACATGATTTGCGCCATTATCTCTTGCTCAGTACTGACTTTTTCACTTAAGTCAATTACCCTATTCACAAAAGGTGATCTAAAAATATATGGATTAGTCACCTTCCTTTTCCCTCTTTCATTCACATTCTGACCCTTTTTCCCTTTCTCATCTAAAATATGCTCTTCATTCCCTTCTAATTCTCCATCTTCATCATTACCCTCAGAATTATCACCAGTTTCTGCATTGTTCATTAGTTGGGTTATTTGAAGATCAAAGGAAGGAAATTCTGAATTTTCAAATGTTAGCTTTTTTGGAACAGGAGATCTGACAACTGGATTTTGAATTGTATTTGAATCTGGATTTCTGTTTGAGAATATTCTAAGCAAATCCTCATCCATTTTTTCTATGAATGAATCAGACCAAGGGGAAAAATCAATAGATATACCTTTTGGATTGTGTTTTGGTGTAACAATTGAGCTCTCACCTATGTTGTCTCCAACCACCTTCTCTACAATATCCCCTCCCTAATATTCTCCCCACCAATCATTTCACCACCTTTAACAAGATTTTTGCTCTCAACATTGTCTTCTAAATTCTTTTTTTCAATAGTCTCGTCTATATTATTCACCTCTAAAGCCAAATTTATTTTGTTATCAACATTTATGCCTTCAAATTCTATTTGTCTTTCTGGATTATGCGGATGTCTAATCGTTTCCTCGCCAATATTATTCTCAAAACCCAAATTTATTCGGTCATCAACATTCATATCTTGATCTTCTTCTTGTGTTTCTTCATTCTCTGGAAACTTCTGTTGTAATGGTTTAACAGCTAAAAATGCAACCAACTTTGTATTCATTCCTTCATCTTTATCATCATCAGAATCAGAAATGTTTGTTTTATTAAGCTCTTCATCTCTATCTGATTTGACTTCAGTTCTCTCCTAATAGTTTCTGATTTCTCTCGACTAGAAAAAAATGTAGTTGAAATATGTCTCTAAACTTTCTTATCATCTCCTTCGTTTTATTGTCTTCAGGGAACTTCGATAGACAATGAAAAATAATATCTTCCATATCATTCTTTTCAGTTGAGACATTGTTGAAAATTTTTTCATACTTTTCTTCATACTCCTGGGAAAAAAGACATTAGAATATTTTTCTTATATTAATTTAGGATATAATTAAAATATATTCTAAAACATAATTTAATAATATATTCTACTTAGAATATAACTCAATACGCGTGTCCTGATTTTCACCTGATTTTCATTCTTCTCAAGTTCTAAATTTGAACTTTGTTCGATTAGATTCCCAACCCCAAATCCATCAGCTTCAATCTCAAAAGATTGTCTTTCCTTCAACTTATCTGCTATCCACATCGTAACTAATGGTGTTTTACGTTCTATTTTTTGGAGCTTGCATTCAATATCATCACAGTAAATTAGCTGCATTATTTTAACATCATATTAGATATCCATTTTTAAGAAAAAAAATAAGTATATGAAAAAACATACCGATAGCAACAACATCGGGCCTATATAATAACACTTGGGGTTGTCTGGATGCCATCTCCCTTTTGATTTTTCACACAGTACAACAAATATGCACACCAATCGATTTTAGAAATTTCATCTACTTCAACAAGTGCTCTAACTGGAACTAAGTTGTTTGTCCCCATAGGAAGGGATTCTGCAAACGTATTAACAAATAAAGCTATGAAACCCAGCTTGAAATTCATATCCACTTGTTCGGATTTTTGAATAATCTTCTTGTAGTTTGTTGCATTTGCCTTTCTGTCTTTTAGTTCATTCATCCATCCATCAAACACTTGATGATCTTCACTAACCTTGTCCAAATCAAATAAGCTTTTTCCAGTTTTGGGTAAACCAAACACTTTATGAATTTTTTCCTTTGTGATCTTTATTCTTTTTCCTTTAATCAGAATACTGTTTGTGCCTTCATCATAATGCTTAAGCACAAAATGGCAAAGTTTTAAGGGAATACTCTTAATGTTGATCTTCAAAAATGCTTTAAATCCCATCCGTTTCACCCAATCTTTTTGTTCTGATGTTAAAGAACTTACAGCATCTGTCATCAATCCAAGTGTCGATCTAGTGTTTATTGAAGGCAACTCCTTCAATATATCTTTCACAGTCTTTTGCTCTTTCACGGTTTTTTGTTTTTTTTATTGCTGCACGATTGTCCCTACTATTCCTCTTCCTTTTTGCTTCTTTAATCTTTGTCACTCCTTCAACATATTTTCTATCACCGGTTCTCTTTTTTACATAGATTTCTTCATCAGATTCATCATCTAATTCATTACATCAGTCATAGATGTTAGTAACCCCACAAAAATCCAAAAATCATATTTCATTTAATTACAAAGTAATATTCCAAACAGAATATTATACATATACACTTATTATATCAGAATATTCTATGGAATTTAATCCAAAAATACTATATCATCTAATTAAAATGTAGATATTTATTCAAATTATATTATTTATAAAAAATTAAACTCAAATGTTTGCAAAATCCTATATCAGCTAAGTAAAACAACAAAAAAATCAAGTATAACATGATTTATGATATAATAATATATAGAATGTGTAATATCATAGAAACATTCTTTCACATCAATAAACAATAGAAAAATACTTTCACATCAAAATACCAAGAATTTTCAGTTATGATCCATAAGTAATTCATGTCAAACATAGTCTATGAAAAATATTCTTCGAAACACTCTAATATTTATATTGTTCCATATATTGGAATTGTAAAGTATAAAATCATATTTCACGAAAAAAAAAAGTTTAGATTATTTTACCCGTTGACTGTGTGTATGATTTTGTCTCTGATTCTGTTGAAGAATCAGAAACATGTTTTTTCTTTTTGTGCTTCACATCATTATGGATTAATTTCTTGTTGCGCTTGAAATGTTTTTTGACTTTTCTTTTTTTCTTTTTATTTACTTTATCTGCATCAATAATTATTTTATTAGAAAAATATAATATACTTTTATTGGATGTCAACATATATATTATAAAAGACAACATATTTTACCATATTCATCACTCTGTGTTGTGGATGTCTCTGACTCTGATGTCTCTGACTGTGAAGATGAAGAATCTAAAACATAGTGTCTTTTTTTCTTTTCAAGTATTTTATTCTTTTTTGTATTTTTAGCTGTATGAAGAAATTTAAAAATTGAAATAAATTAGAATATTTATTTTAATCAACTTGAATGTTCATAATAATCAACCGAAAAAAATAAATCCAAAAAATTTATGTTGTTAAGTGTTTTAAAGAATGATTGTTGATACCTTTTTTAATTCTTTTTCTATGACGTGAGGATGAATCAGAGTCGCTTTCAGAAGTAACAACGTTTTTTTTTAAATTTTTTTCTTTGATTTTCCTTCATCTGCCTTCTTTTTCTTTTGATTTACAATTTGCAAATTTTTTATCATGAAATTTAAGAATTAAAATCAATTAGAATATATGATTAAACAAAATTAGAAATTTAAATCCAAACATTTGTTTTTTTTTTTTATGAATTATTTGAAAGAAAGTGTGTTCATACCTTTTTTAACCTTATCTTGACTCGCTGAATCTGTATGAAGAAAATTATCAAATAAAAACAATTAGAATATTTATTAAAAGCATTTAGAGGTTAATAAAAGCAATTATAATATTTAATCCAAAAGTAATCACAATTTATACCTATATCGATATAGATTTCTTTCCCTATTTTTCTTACAGTTGCATTTGTTTCCACTTTTTTAGTTGCATCAATAACATCAAATTCCATTAGAATTTACAAATCTTTTGTCATGAAATTTAACAATTAAAATCAATTAGAATACATGATAAAACAAAATTAGAATATTCAGAATAACTAACTTAGAAAAATAAATCAATTAGAATATATTAGTTTATGATATATAATATGGTCACAGTTCTATAAATACATAACAACAAATTTCTATTTATCAATCAACATAAGGTTTGTCTTCTTTTTCTTTTGATTTACAATTAAAATCAATTAGAAAAATAAATCCAAACATTTGTTTTTTTTATGAATTATTTGAAAGAAAGTGTGTTCATACTTTTTTTAACCCTATCTTGACTCGCTGAATCTGTATGAAGAAAATTATCAAATAAAAACAATTAGAATATTTATTAAAAGCATTTAGAGGTTAATAAAAGCAATTATAATATATAATCTAAAAGTAATCACAATTTATACCTATATCGATATAAATTTCTTTCCCTGTTTTTCTTACAGTTGCATTTGTTTGCACTTTTTTAGCTGCATCAATAACATCAAATTCCATTGGAATTCATATTAGTTTATGATATATAATCTGGTCACAGTTCTATAAATACATAACAACAAATTTCTATTTATCAATCAACATAAAATTCACTAGAATACAAAGATTTTTTTTGGCTAAACAGTATACTACAATCATAATAAGAGATTTGTGTTACCAAAATCTATAGTATTAGACAATTTATGGATCTAAATCTAATTAAATGATGAACAATTAGTTAGAATAACATAACATCTTTGCTGATTTTGATTAAGAATATTTAGATCAAATGAAATGGAGAATAATTAGAACACTCTGTACAGTTAACATTTAGATACATAGACTCTATATAAATCACACACTGAGATTTAGGTTTAGATTGTATGCTTTATAATGCTATATTCCATTACATCCTGACTTCGACATATAAATCATTAGTGAACTATCTCGATTATTACACATTTATTGAATACACACAACGATTTAAAGTGAAAAAACTTTCTATAATAAGAACAAATAGGTTTATTGTGTAAGAACAAGAGGTTTGTAGTATTATACTTATTTGGAACAGCTGTTGATACAAAATCAGAATCATAATCTGTAGAATGAGCCATTTGATTCGATATCAAATTCAAAATCAAAATGTTTTTAATGTTCTAGTTGATTATCGAGTGGTTTTCGTGTAATAATCGGAAGATGAATTTCAGGTATAATCAGAATTAGAGTCTGAAACAATGATCGAGATTTGGAAGCAGAACGATGATCGAGATTTGGATCAAATGAGTTTTAGGGTTTGTACCAGGTGTTTTTGTGTGTTGAAAGAAAAAGAATGCAAAATTCCATTCATGCCCCTCCATGTCTTGATCTAATCTCAAAGTTCCATTAATTTACAAAATTGTCACCGCCTATTTTATGGTTTAATCTGAATTAATATTAGCCTTTGATTATTTAGGATGAGTGGTCAAGATTTAGTCTCTCCGTCTCACAAAATCAAGTGGTCTCACATGAACCTAACCCTATATATATATAATAAAACGTGGATATATTTTGGAATATGTATATAAATTAAAAGGCTAAAAGACGATATTAAAATAAAACATGGATATAACTTTGGAACATCTATACTACTTAGGGGGCTAATTACTTGGATATAAATGTTTTTATTATAATAAGCATTTAAATACCGATCTCAACAACAAAATATATTATAAATCACATCAAATAAGTAATCATCACAATTTAGGGTGCAAATAAAACCCCCCTTGAGGGACTAAATAGTCAATTCTTGCTCCATTCTTGATGATTTTGCCCCATGTGAACAAGTTTCTGACTTCAAATCTTTGGGGATTCGGAATAATTTTGCCCCCTATGAACAAGTTTCCGACTTCAAATCTTTGGGGATGCAATCGTATCTCATTTCAAGGAAGTGTTTGTTTAAAATACCACATGAACGAAATACTCGTAGTGGAATCTTTTTTGAATGCTTGGTCCATTTTGGTCAACTGAGACAAAAAAGGACCAAAAAGGAATCAAATGATTTTGTTGCGATTTGCTGATTTATGTCTTCGGTGATGAATAATTGATGACGTATGCATAAGAGTTGGATTGAAGCCTTGAAAGGATCATGTGCTTGCTTCCAGCGTACGAGTCATCATTCAAGAGTATTGCCAGAAAAAAGCTCAAAGCAGTCAACAGAATGTTCAAGCACCGCATCACGAGTCATCATTTTGAAGAGGCTTGTCTGGCGGACAATTTTTTTGGTCATCTGCCAAAATACCCGCCGACTTATTCGAGCTCACATCCATGATCCAACACCCTTAATATGTAAAAGTTGTGCTAGACCCCAAATTCGAAGGAATCACAAACGTTAAACGGTTGTTGTTAATGAAAATCACGTCTAGGCCCTTCGATTCATTGAAACGAAGTCGATAAATTTGAGGCTATAGGAGGGACATGATGATGGAAGGGAAGGGACCCACGAACCAATTGTTACTTAGGTCAAGCTCTACCAATAATTAACCTACATGGCAATACAACTTATGGTAATAGGTAAAATGGGATTAACTTTAACAGGTAAAATTGGACTTTAGGCGGCTAAACTATTAGAAAAAAAATAAGGGCCCTTAAAAGTCAAGATTTTTTAGGGGCTAGAGTGTCATTATTATAGAGGTTTATTTTCTGATATTTACTTCTTTTATAGATTTGATTGAATTTAAAGAGAAAGATAACTTCTGGTTTTCATCAAGAGACATCCTATGAAGCTTATGTTTGAAAGTTAGATTGACAACACAACAAAAACAAATAACTTTATCTGTTCGAAGAAGTTGAAAACAGAGTCCATGTAACTTTTGACTTACATTATATGATGTATAAATTTATTAACTCATCTGCTTTCTGAAAATATTATTTGCCAGCAAACAAAATGCACACTGAATTGTGATTTTTAATTTCGACTAGCCATTAAATAAATTAATAAAAGACACTTAATGAAAGTTTTTTTAAATCATGAAAAACGCATAAAATTTGACAGCTGTGGGATTTGAACCCACGCCCTTTCGGACCAGAGCCTAAATCTGGCGCCTTAGACCACTCGGCCAAACTGTCTAATTGTTAATTATCTTCTAAAAAGGAGTTAATTTTAGTCTAATAAAATATAATAAACTTTGAAGCCATATCATGCAACTTGATTGGATAGACTTTAAAAACAAAATAGATCAAATAAACATAAAGCAAAAATACAAGCTTATATCAAACAGTTGTTTTAACTTAGTCTGGT